AATAAAATTCAGTGAGGACAAATGCAAACTCCTGCCCTTCAGACAGAACATCCACATGCAAAAAAACAGACTGGCAAACAACTGGCTAGACTGCACTATTGAAGAAAGGACCTCATATTTATTGTGGACCACAGGCTGAATGAGTCAGTGTGCTTTTGCTGAAAAAAAGCCAACTACGTATTGGGCTGTATTAGTAAGAATATCACTTGCAATCCAGAGAAGTGATCCTTCCAGTCAATTTAGCACTGATGAGGCCTCACTTGGAGTACTGCATTCAGTTTAGGGCACTCCATGGCAAGGAAGATGCAGACAGACTAAAGAGTCCAATAAGAGTAAAAATAAAAGGATTAGAGGTCTGGAAAATGTGATTTATGAGGAAAGGCTAAATGAACTCACATTATTTTCTCTGAAGAACAGAAGACAGAGGGGATTTGATAACAGTCTTCAAACCCCTGAAGGGTGGTTCTAAAGAAGATGGAGACAGATTTATCTATAGGCGCATGGGATTGGACAAGGAACAACGGTCTCAAATTACAGTGAAGAAATTTAGGTTGGAGATTAGAAAGAACTTTCACCATGAGGATGGTCATACATTAGAACAGGCTACCTAGAGGGGTGTGGGGTCTCCATCCTTGGAAATCTGAATATCAGGTTAGACAGACACTTGTTTAAGATGATTTAGAAAAGGATGATCCCGTCGTTAGGAGGGGCTTGGACTACGTGACCTCCTGAGGTCCCTTTTCTATGAATTTTAGCAGGATCATGGGCAACTGCCCCTCTCTAGTCGTGGCTGCAGAGAGCTGCCATAGCACCAGCATGCCCTACAGCAGGGCTTGGCAACATCCAGCCCATGGAGCCAAGCAGCAGGGAGCTGCTGCCCAGCTGCCACTTCTCTCTGCCCCCCGGCTGTAGCTTGAGCATGGCTCTCTGCTGCCCATCCCCAGCATAGGCACAGGCAAAACTCCCACCACCAGAATACAAATCAGTGTCCAGCCCCTAACCTCCCGCACACCAAAAGCCTGCATCAGACCAGAGCTGAGCTGTTTCACCCCATGGCTCTGAAAGATTGACGACTGTTGCCCTAGAAGGCAAAAAGCTTCTTCGAAGCAAAGGTGGAAACACCATGAGCATCTCAGTCCACACTGCAAGGTTCGGACAAGTCTTTAGGGGTGGTAGCTAGTTCATAAGGACTCTGTCTTGTGTTTGGTGAGAAGGGACTGGGTAGAGGTGCTCACGGCAGCCCAGCAGGGCTCAATCAGGACACTCGAGCACCGCAAGGGAGCCAAGGATCCAAGTGGGACAATATACTAGGGTTAATTATGAAACATGGGGGAAGGGGCTCATTTGACCTTTTTGGACCAGGGAGGGCTGGGAGTGCTAACGAAGCTGCTTCACTGGAGCAGGGCCACCTGTCTTTACCCAAGGTGACCCCTAGTGGACAGCAGTAGGAAAAGCACCAATAAAACTGTTCACCAGGCCCATGCCTATGAGCAACGGATCCCAGGGATAGCCAGAGCTGGGGCAGGCAGGTGGATCCCTGGACTCACTCCTATGAAGATCCTGCAAAAGGGAAGAGAAACCAGAGTACTTCAGCAATCAGAGGTCTCTCACCATCTGCCAGCGCCAGCACAGCAGCCTCGCCCCCCATGTTTCTCAGGGCAAACATGGCCCGATAGCGATCGAACAGTGGGCACGACTCATCCAGGAGGGTGTTTCGCAGCTTGGCAATGTCCTCCTCCTCAGCAGGGGGAGCAGGGTCCACAGACAGGTAGGGACTGGTGCCTGGGGCTTCCTTGTTCTTCTGCAGCCATTCAAGCCTCTTAACTGCAAGCTGGCATGTCTCTGCTACCTGTAAAACAGAAGACAAGCTTGGCTGGGATCCCTTAGGGTCAGAGAGAACACACCTGGAGATCGGGGTGCCTAGACCACAGGACTGGCAGTCACAGCTCCTGGCTCCTTTCCCAGTTCTGCCACTGCAGATGAGTCACCTCCCTGCTCTGGCAGCACCTCCCAGTCTCCTGCCTCAGCACAGTATGACTCAAGTTACCAGCCCACGAAGAATGAGGTACACACCGCACATGGCATTTAGTCCAAGGGCAGGGGATAGTTCTCTGCCATGTTCCTAACAAAACAGGACCTAAACCTTGACATGGGAGCTGCCAGGCTATAAACCCCTCCTCCTCCAGGCTAGAACAGCATAGTTCCTACGAAAGAATTTACTTCCTAGACACGTGCTTCCTGGACTTGCACACAAACACGATGTCAAGAAGAGGCCAAGGACTGGGGCTACAAAAATCAAGTTCTGCTACTCCCCATTGACATGGCTGCTCTAGGGCAACAAGTAGAGGAAACAAACCTGAGTTCATCTCTTCTGTAGCTACTAAGAGGCCTTCAGGTCTAAACTGTTATCCACAAGAGAAAGACCATGTGAAGAAAATGTATGTCTGCCTATCAGCACAATATTCCCAACTACTGCAGGGCTATAGCACAATATCCCCACCCCAAGCACTGCAGCAGCACCTGAAGAACCCTGGGAGAACAAAGCTCCATGGTGGTGGATACTGAACAAAAACACAGGGCGGGAACCTGCCCAAAGGTCTTAGCATCCAAACAGAAGCAAGACAGCAGGGAAAATCCAAGACAATGATACACAGGTCACTCAGTAGACTGCTTGCAGAGCTGTGGATAGAACCCAGGCCTCCTAAATCCCAGCCTTTCCCATTGCAGCAGCAGTATTAGTGGTGTTTATAACTCCCACAGGAGGTGTCAGCTCAAGGGAAGCTTTACCTCGACAACTGGGTCTTCAGAATAATGTTTCAGAACATCCAGCACATCAGGATTTCCAATAGCTCCCAAGGCTTCACCTTAAAGAAAGGGCAGAGGAGGTTACCAGCTGGTCCAGATGCCTGCAGATGCACAGGATTTCATGGCTTTATGCCACTGTTGTTACCTTTTATACAACCCAGTGCTTCCTTAGTGCAGATCTGACTGCAATGCTCATGAGGAGCAGCTGCCAAGCTAATGACAAGTGACAGTTTGAGTCTAACTCATAGTAAAGATCTGGTTAAAAGGGTTGTGGGATAAACATATATACCCCGATCTCCAGATCAGGGGTCAGCAACATTTTTGGCCAAAGTGCCAAAAATACCTCAGCCTCAACCTATGCTTCAACTTGACGAGCCAGGGACAGCAGGGGAGCTGAAAGGGGCTCACTCCTCATTGCTGGCAGCAGGTGCACACACGCCTCTGGGTTGCACTGCCTCAGCAGCTTTCCTGCCCTACACCCTGAGACACACATGCAACCACTGCCAGCCATGGAGCTTGACCACTCGCAGCAAGCAGACTGCAGAAAGTTACACCAAGGTCTTGAGCCCCAGCCTGGCTCCACAGCCAGTGATGGCTGCACATGTGCCCAGGGGCACACAGCAGGGAAGGGCATCACAACCCCATCCCCTCCCTCGCTGTCTGCCCAGAGGCATGCATGCTCCTGTCACCAGCAACGAGCCAGGCAGGCCTAGGCTCTGCAAACTTTGCATCCTTCTGGCTGACTGCCACAAGCTCTGGGCAGGCCTCTGCTGCCTGCCATGGAGCCTGTGCTGCTTGCAGCAAGGAGGCTGCAAGCCACTGCCCCAAGGTTTAAGGAGTGCTGGCCCTGCTAACTGCTGGTAGTGGGTGCATGCACACTTCCAGACAGACAGTGAGAGAGGGACCAGGGCTGCACTGCCGCATCCCCTCCCCCCACCATACACCCCTAGGTATATGTGCAGTCACCACTGGCCATGGAGCCAGGCCAGAGCTCCAGATCCTGGTGCACTGGTTGCAGGCCCCTGGCTGCCTGCCACAGGCAGCCCGGGCTCTGGGCAGCTGCTGCCTGCCATGGAGCTGAGGGTGCTCACAGCAGGGCTTGTAGCCTCCTTGCTGCCTGCTGGAAGCAGCCTGGACTCCATGGCCAGCTGTGGTGTGCCAAGCAAAACGGCATCACACGTCATGGCATCCCAGAGCCCTTTTAACCAGATCTTTACTCTGAGGTGCTGGAGGTTGCCAACCCCTGGTCTATGTCTTTATTTGAGAGGAGTTTGGCAAGCTTTCCAGATTTTTTAATAGCACCGAAGACTGGATAAGCAGGCACGTCACACCACCACACACGCCTCTCCCGTGTCTCACAAGCTGCTGTACAAATCTAGTTGTGCAAATGAAGGGACCCCTTTGTTTCTCATATCACAAGACCTAGCCTCAAGAAAGATCACAGAAAAGGCACTGAAAATGAATGGGGCTTTGGTGCTGCCCCTAAAGGTGCCAGGCACTGCAGTCAGGCAGCAAGGTAGGTGCAGCACAGAGTCTACATGTGCATTAATGTGCTTTAGTTACTGTGCATTAAATCTAGTTTAGGGCCACTCGTATGATCAAGGGCCACTCATATGATCAAGGGACAGCAGGGTAGGTCCTATAAGGAATGGTTGCGGGACCTGAACCTGTTCAGCCTTCAAAAGAGAAGGCTGAGGGGGGATCTTGTGGCCTGTTATAAACTGGTTAGGGGGGATCAGCAGGCGCTGGGGAAGTCCCTGTTCCCCCTAGCGCCGCAAGGAGTGACCAGGAACAATGGGCACAAGCTGGCGGAGGGAAGGTTTAAGTTGGACATCAGGAGGCGCTACTTCACGGTCAGGGCGGCTAGAGTCTGGAACCAGCTTCCAAGTGAGGTGGTGCAGGCTCCCACCCTGGGGGTTTTTTAGAGGAGGTTGGATGACCACCTTACTGGGGTCATTTGACCCCAGTGCTCTTCCTGCCATGGCATGGGGTCGGACTAGATGATCTGCTCAGGTCCCTTCCGACCCTAGAAACTATGAAACTATAGTGCCTCCATTGTGAGGTACTAGGAAAATGTGCATTAGCCTGGCTTTTTTAAGTGACACTTAATGCACATTAACCTATTTTACCATGCATTAATTAAAAAGCACAGCTTACATAACACCTTAATGTGCATTAAAATACGCTAATGCACATTAAAACACTCACTAGGTACAGGAAGAAAGCTAGCATATTATTCCCCTAACAGAAGCAGGGACCTCGCTGCTCTCCAAATTGAACTTCAATCCCTGGCCCTGTGCAGCCCCCAATTCTTCTGGGCTGAACTGAGGTGCTAATCCACCAAGGCATCTTGCCACAGACTTCACTGGAAACAGGACTGAAGCCTCATAGATGTATACTCTGGTACCTGCTTCATGCCTGACCATGGGCTCCTGGCTGGTGTCCTTCAACACCTGGATCAGGACAGGGATGGCACGCTCGTCCTGCATTTGTCCCAGGCAGTAGGCCAGCTCATGCTTCAGGAGGGCAGACTCGTCCCCGAAACCCCGGCTGATCCAGTCAATGGCTGCATGACCCCCTAAGTTGCGCAGGGTGAAGAGGGCTCGGAAACGAGCCTTCAGGGGCTGTGCGGCATCCACCAGCGTCCTGCCAATGGCCTCTACGTCCTTCTCAGGCACCATGGCGGGGGGCAGGCGGGCCCTTGCGGTCCAACCGCTCCTACCAGTCACACGCTGCAGAAACCTGGGCAGGGAGAAGAGGGGACGGGCTGCTCATCGGCTCCTCACAGCTCAGCACCGGGCAGTGCCAGGGACTGAACGGCTGCAGCGGGCAGCACCGGGGATTGAACAACAGACACAGGCAGAGAAAGGGCCAGCTCCTGCAAGCGCCTCGAGTGACAGGGCCCAGGGCAGGTTTGCGGCCCTGCGGCTGCTGGATTTCCCCCGGCCCGACCCCGCACTCACCGCGCGCCACGCACCGCCCCACACCGCTCCTCCCGTCAGCCCCTGCGGCGGAGCGCACCATGCGGCGCCGGGGGGGCTCCCTCGCATAGCAGGCGGCGGCGCGGAGGTGTCACGTGACGCGGGCGGCGCAGATTCCCCCCTCTGCCAAGGCGGAGTTGGTGCGTTCCATCCCTCACCTGTACCGCCTCCCCCCCCCGCCATAGTGAGGCCGGAGAGTGGGCATGCGCAGAAGCTTTAGGTCAAGTCATCCTCCGCCGGCTCGCCTCGCTTCGCCTCTGCTCCTTGAGCTGCCTGTGGCCGGTGGTGCCGCCATCTTGACTGAGGGCAGCGTCTGACTTTAAGGCCTGTTCAAAGTAGTGGGAAACAGTCACCATTTTGTCTAAGGGCAAAAAGCCACGGAGCTCCCGGGGGTGCGGGAGCCGGAAGACTCGCCCCTTCTTTGTCTAGTGAGGTCTTAAAAACCTCCAAGGATGGAGATTGCACCACCTCTCTGGGTAACCTGTTCCAGTGTTTCACCAGCCTCCTAGTGAGAGATTTTTTCCTAATATCCAACTTAAACTTCCCTTTCTGCAGCTTGAGCCCATCGCTCCTTCTGTCATCTGCCCCCACTGACAACAGTCCAGCTCCATCCTCTTGGCACCCCCCTGCAGGTAATTGAAGGCTGCTGTCAAATCCCCTCTGGGTCTTCTCTCCTCCAAACTAAATAAGCCCAGTTCCCTCAGCCTCTCCCCAGAAGTCATATGCTACAGCCCCCAAACCATTTTTGCTGCCCTCCCCTAGACTCTCTCCAACTTGTCCACGTTTTTTTAGTGGGGGGGCCCAAAACTGGACACAGTACTCCAGATGTGGCCTCTTCAGTGCTGAATAGAAGGAACTAATCACACCCCTTGACCTGCTATTAATGGAGCTGTAAGCCTTCTTTGTGACAAGCTTAGTGTCACTGTTGGCTCTTATTCAGCTTGTTGTCCACTGTAACCCCCAGGTCTTTTTCTGTAGAGTTGCTGTTAGCCCGTCTCTAGTCTGTACCAGTGCAAGGGATTGTTCCATCCTAAGTGCAAGACTTTGCATTTCTCCTTATTAAACCTCCTGAAAACATATTTTGGTTCAATCCTCCAATTTGTCTAGGTCTCTCTGAATCCCAGCCCTACCCTCCAGTGTATCTACTATTCCCCTCAGCTTGGCATCATCCATACACTTATGGAGGGTGCACTCTACCTGATCTTCCAGATCTCTGATGAAGCTATTGAACAAAACCAGTCCCAGGACCAACCCTTGGGGCACTCCATTTGACACCAGATATGAACTAGACAGCAAGCCACTGAATACTCTTTGAACCCAACAATCCAACCAGATTTCTGTCCATCTGATAGTCCATTCATCCAACCCATACTTCCTTAGCTTGCTTGCAAGAATGTCGTAGGAGACCATATCAGAAGTCTTGCTGAAGTCAAGGTATATCACATCCTCTGCTCTCCCTGCATCCACAGCTCCAGTCATACCATCATAGAAAGCAATCAGGTTGGTCAGACATGAGTTGCCCTTGGTGAATCCGTGCCAACTGTTTCTAATCACCTTCTTCTCCTCCAAGAGCATAGAAATGGATTCCTTGAGGACCTGCTTCATGATTTTTCTAGGGACTGATGTGAGGCTGACTGGTTTGTAGTTATCCACACTAGAATTTATCATGGACATAAAGCTCATCACTTGTCTTGCACTCATAGCCCTACAAGCACTACTGTAGGCCACAGACCCTTGTTCTAAAGGCCCAAATATCCCTTTACAGCTTATATTGAAGAGCCAAAGTGCTAGATTTCCATGGAAAAGCAGGTTGTTGACCCCAGGCACAAACATGGGATATTAAAATGACTAACATATTAGTATGTCTGTAGCAATACTGAAGGTCAGAGCAGGGTGGCACATTGTAATACCAGAAAGCTTGTCTAGCAAAAAGAGAAAGGGGTATCAGCACATGAGGATAAACACAGTCCTGATGAAGCAGCATCTCTAAAGAGGGTCAGCCACATGGGGCCTGCGTTTCTTTGAAAGATCATTTCCCTCTTAAAGCAATCCCATAGCTCTGACCACTTGCCACTGCCTTGTCTCCTTTTTTTATTTTTGTGCTCCTGAAGGCTGCCTAGTGAGTACTGTGCAACTACCTACCCAATACAGATATGCCACACACATGAACCAACCTCCCCGCCACACACACTCACTACTCCACTAACCCTCAGCTTTAACCAGGACTGGAAAGGGCCCCTGTTACTCCAGAGAACAACTCATAACATTGCTTTCACGGACAGATGAGTCAAGAGGAAGGAACTTTTATCTAAGACCAAGAAGTCAGTCTCCATGGCTAAGCAATGTGGAGGGGAAGCCTATCTTAGTGAATACAGTATTAAACTAGGAGTCTCCAGACCCAGATTCTAATCCCTGCTCTGCTACTGACATTAAGCAAGTCACTTCCCTTCTTTGTGCCTTTGTTTCCCATCCTCTCAGCTTATCTAGTTAGATAGTAACCTCCACGTGGCAGAAACCATTGCTTTGTATCTATCAGCACCCAGCAAAACAGGGTCCTGGCCTTGGGTGTGGCCTCTAGGTGCTAGTGTAATATAGATAATACCTATTTAGTCCTTTGCTTTTTCAATCTGGCATTTCTGGAGCACCCATCACCACAGCACCTATCACCTGAGTCCCACCAATTCTTTTTATGCACTCTACCAAGCAATCACCAGACACTAACAGTTTTCATCAGGGACCAGCCTGACACCAAGACTAGTTTCACACCAATGACCTGGAAGTGAAAAGTCTCTCTTTTTCAGTCACCTGGAAATCTGGAGCCCCCAGTTTATCCTTCACAGAAAACAAAAAAAAAAGGAGACATATTTCTTTGTCCAAACCTAGATCCCCCATTTTATTTTTATATCACAGAACATGTCTCACATTTGTCCAAATCCTGGAAGATTACAAGCATATGAAATACATCCCATTGCCTGAAATCTTTATGGCAAAAACTGTATAACTGTAACATAACTGACTTCCTCTGGACTGCACCTGGTGATGGGGCCAGGCTATCTCAGCTCCAACCTTGCAAGCCATCCTCGTTCCTCAGAAGGGTGTTGCAGCAGACACGAGGATGTCATTCCTGTTTAGCAGCCCTTGATTGCTGGGACAATGTTATGTTTATTAGAGTTAATCTAAAGTCTGAGAGCTGCAGTGTATGGTCACTGCCTCTGTAGCCATCAGCCTTCTCCACAGCTTTCAAAATACTGACACATGAGATCTCGCACTTGCTCAGCACTGCTGTCGTCCATGGATGTGGGCACAGGGTGACAAGGTTTTGGGAACTCTGCTGGCTCGATGACCTCCAGCCACTCATCATTGAAGGGGTTGTCATGTGCCTCGCATACGTTGTGCAGGGTGCAACAGGCAAGTATCACAGTGGGCAGCAGGTCCAGGCTACAGTCATCGCACTTCAGGAGGAACTGCCAGCGAGCCTTGAGGCGCAGGAAGGCATTCTCGATCACGCTGTGGGCTCGCTTCAGGCAGTAGTTGAACTGAAGCTGCTGCTGGGTGAGTTTCCCATCTTCCTGGTAAGGCTTGAGTATCCAGTCTTGCAAAGGATAAGACGCATCTCCCGGTAGGACATACTTTTGTGCCCTCCCCATGAAATGTTTTGGGGGGTTTGGGAACAAGTAGCCATCTCTGGCTAACACCCACAAGCTCGAACTCTCCAGCATGGCACTGTTCTCCATGCTGCCAGGGAAGCCAGCACAGACATCCCAGAACTGGCCTAACCCATCCACCACAGCCTGTGTGACGATGGAGTGCCAGCCCTGGCTGTTGCAGTAGTCAGCACTGAGGTGCAAAGGTGCGTTGATGGGGATGTGGAGGCTGTCCAAAGAACCGATGCAATGTGGGAATCCCCACCTGGCCCTGAAGATGCACACCATGTTCTCCAGTTCCTTTTCGCTGGGCAGGCGGAGGTAGACTGGCTTTAGCAGCAGGACAACCGTGTAGCTCACCTCCTGGACACACTTTTGTACTGTGGAGGGGCCCACCCCAAAAAGAGGGCTGATAATCTGGTACTCTACATTGGTGGCCAAATGCCAAAGGGCCACAGCTACCCTCTTTTCCAGAGGCAGCACAGGGTGGAAGTGGATGCTCTGATGCGCCAGCTTGGGCCGCAGCTGGTTGCACACGTAGAAGAAAGTCTCCTTAGGCATCTGGAACTTCTCCACCCAGTCGTGGGGCTGGAAGTCTTTCAGGACCACCCGTTCCCACCAGTCAGTGTTCCTAATGCTGGGCCACGCACGAGGGTGAAAGTAATAGTTGCTTCTGCATCGTCGTGCAATCAGCAGCTGAAATTTTACATGGGAGATAATGACAGGCAAGAGGCAGTGTCTCTATCAGACATTTACTCTGGGATATAACAATTTGCAGCACTTTTATAATGCTGCATCTTCCAAGTGCTGTGCAGACAACCAATTTGTCCTCTCAACATACCTGGAGATTGGGTCAGTATTACTCCTGTTTGCAAGGGGAAAAACTGACTCACCCAGATGCTAAGTGACCAGCTCAAGCTACTCAGGTAGTCAGTGGAGCTGGCTTTGGAACACAGTCGTTCCTGACCTTTGACCCATGCTCATTCCCCTTATCATACTATATATGTGAAAGACGAATTAATGAGACATAATGAACAGGAGGCAAAGGGCCTCTCAGATACAGATGGGACTCTAGAGACCTGGATTGTATTCCTGATTGCCCTGTGGGGTATCAAAGGCACCTCCCATCTATAAAATGGGGATAATAATATCATCCACTGTAAAGCATTTTGAGATTTGCAGCTGAAAAGTGCTGCATCAATTGTTAAGTCGCTTTGGGGCTTCTCACTCTTACTAGTCTCCAAAAGGTTCATAGATATCACCTCTCACTCTGCCTCCATAACACCTTTAACCTATGCATTGAATGCATCCACCTTTGGGACACACCATAAAAGCCATTTAATAGCAGAAAGTAATAATAGGCAGTCCAGGACAAAAAAACAGCACTGCAAAAAATAGCCCAACGTGCAATTAAAAATGCTGAGGGCCTTCTGGGCTGACAGAATGTAAGTACTAGAACTGGGCAAAATTTTCTGTCCCATGGGAAATTCCTTCCATTATCATTTATTTTGGTGCTGAATGGAGATGCAAAGTTAAAATGTTTCACAAAACAAACTTTCTGGGGACAGAAAACAGAAACATTATTTCCGGTGAATCACAACGATTTTGATTTCAGTTTTCTCCCCTTATTATTTGATTTTTCAACCAGGGTTTGGGAATCATGTTTAAGTGGCAACATAAAATAACTGCAGAGCTACAAATACAACCTGACAAGGACGTGTATCACACTTTGCCTTTTAGCAACTAGCCTGCTCCACCAGGCTTGAACAGAATTAGATGTCTCCAAGTCTTTTTCCTTCCTGGCCTCTCTCCTGGGGCTCCCCTTCTAATGTCCTTGTCATCCTCTCCTTTGCCTTCAACCCTGATCCTTCTACACCCTGGCTTGTACTAGCATGTCCTCCTCCACCCTGGCCTAGCTGTGCATGATGTACTGTACTAACTATCCACATTATTACTCTTAAGGCCTTTTTCAATTCTTCCCACATGCTTGAGACCCAGTTAGATCTTTGTTGCACGCACAAGCACTGTCTGCAGGCAATGCCCCCCTTCTCCAGGGGTGCAGCAGCCAGCACTACACAGTAGAGCTATGCACAGACTGCAGGGCTGGATTTGGCCTTGGACCCCAGGCTAACTAAGTGCCTGGAGAGTAAGTCTTTCTTACTTTGCCTTCCACTGAGATACTCACTGTCATCAGTCTCTTTTGTCTCTGCATGTAATATTGCCGAAGCCAGATTGTCCTCTGCATCTTGTCCCATCGTCCAGCCATCTCCCACTGAGGGCTGGCCCTTCTCTTCATCAGCAGGTACAGCAACAGTAACAACAACTCCTGCATTTTCAAATTCAGAGCCTGACCTTCCCAGGAAGTAAACTGGATGAGCTCCTTCTGGGCTCAGAGTGTGGCTAAGAAGCACAAAGGAGAGGCGAGGAAACATGTCTTGGTAGCTGAGCTCCACCTACAGACACTCAGAGCTTTCCCAGGGAACGTGTGAATGCAGAATTGTGGCCAGCACCTTCCAGAAATAAGAGGGAGGCTCTTAAGTTACAAACCATCTATTTAAAAACACACATGGCCTCACCTGGGGACCTACTCAGTTTTGATTTCTGGTTTTCATGCTCTAACACTATACTGTAACATGTGGGTGGCAAATAGGGTAAGGCAGTGGTTTTCCTTTCAAATGCATATATAAAAAGTTCTCTTAATGTTGTATACATGTTTCTTTTATACAACCTGAAATGGTGATAGTAACCCCTTTTTAAAGTAAGATTTGGTTGTAAAGGAAATTCTTTACTGAAACAGCTGGAGACAGACATCCCCTGTGATTCCACTGACTCTCTCTCTGCCGAATTGACCGATAAAGCCAGCACTGAGCAGGACTATGCTGCCTGAACAGGAATGGATTAGACTGCAGACTGTGCTGCAAGCCCAGGCTTTGGCACCGATTCTGCAAAACACATGCATTTTAGGGCTGTGCAAGGCTTTGGACCGCGCTTCAGATCCAGAGAAGATTCAGACCCTTCAGATGCCAAAACATCATATCTGGGTTGAAGCTCTGGCTTCTTTAGGCTTTCCGAAGCAGTTCGGCACTTCTGAACCCCTTCAGAAAAGCTTCAGAGCCACTTTGGAGATCCAGCCATAGGGCATAATGGGGAATCAATGAAATATCTATAACCTTGTTGTTTTTTTGTCTAATTTGAATAAAACATGCAGGGATTGTAGCCTCTGCAGAGAGCATGAAGCCTGCCAAGTTTCAAGAAGGTTGGTGAAGGGGTTTGGGGGGACCTGCACCCCAAATTCTTGAAAGCAAAACTCATGTCAGTTGTATGTGTTACACCACATGGGGGTGAAAACTGCAGGGGTGGTGGTCCCTGGTGAGGCCATGAAGTGTGCCAGGTTTCAAGAAGATAGGTGCAGGGGTTGGGGGGAACTGTACCTCAAGCTGCGGACAAGCAAAACTTGTGACATAGGTGCTTGTGCAACTGACTGCGTCTGTCTTGGGGCAGTTGATTGTCTGTCTTGGATTGCCAACAAGAGGCAAAGCACTGCTCGACCTGGTACTGGCAACTGGGGACAACCTAATCAGTGACCTAACAATAGAAGAGAAGCTGGGTGACAACAACCACAAGTTGATCACCTTCACCGTCCACCGAAAAGCTGTCAAATCAGCAGTACAGAGGTCCTCGACTTCAGGAGGGCTGACTTTGACGAGCTCAGGAGACTTGTTTGTGAGGCCCTAAGGGACCATAACCCCATGGGGAGGGGAGTCAAGGAAGAGTGGTTGCTCCTCAAGGGAGCGATCCTAGATGCACAAGCTAAGGCTATTCCATCTCGGAGGAAAGGCAGCAAGAGGGCACAGCAGCCCCCTTGGCTCAGCAATGAACTGGTGGTCCTCCTGCATCTAAAAAGACAGACCTTCAAAGGATGAAGGACGGGATCTACCTCCAAGGAGAAATACTCTGCACTGGTCCAGACCTGCAGGGAACGAAACAGGAAAGCCAAGGCTGTGATGGAACTCCAACTGGTCACAAATATCAAGGACAATAAAAAAGCCTTTTTTAGATATGTGGGGAGCCGGAGGAAAAGCAAGGGCAACATTGGACCCATGCTAAACCAGAAGGGAGAACTGACAACCGACACCCAGGGAAAAGCCAGCTTACTAAATGGGTACTTTGCGTCTGTCTTTCACAAGTCCCATGGGACACCCCTGCCCATTACGGGACAGGAACACCTAAGTGAGGGTGGTTCCTTGCCCTCCATCAATGCTGACCTCATGAAGGAACACCTTGAGAGGCTGGACACCTTCAAGTCAGCCGGCCCTGACAATTTACACCCCAGGGTACTCAAGGAGCTGGCCTGCATCATAGCCCAGACCCTGGCACGGATCTTCGAGAGCTCCTGGTGCTCTGGTGAAGTGCCCGAA